TTCTGCGAAACGCTCGCGCGGAACATCTACGGAATTTCATTCTGACAGGATGCGAACGAGGAGGAACGACTTCCTCCCGGACTTGGGAAACAATATAAAAGCAAAAACAACGCATAAGTTACGCCTTTGGCAGCATCCCGGCGAGCAACATTTTTAAGATATTTATATTCAAGGGAATTTTTTTTCTCTCGCGAGAAAGAGAGAACAATTCTCGATTCCTTAAGAAGGTATACTGAAAGTTCATAATCAGAAGATCCTGCCGAGCCTCACGTACATTTATTATCAGCATACCGGGATTATATATCCCGGTAATAAATTCGCGGCCGCGGATAAACTGATTCTATCGGAATTTTCGGGTCAGATTTACCTAGATAATTATTACTATTATCGGTATAAGAATGTATATGCAGGAGATCGAAATCAGAAATCATCTAGATGGTGAGATTCATATATATGCGCGGCACGTATATTCATACAGAGTGTGTCAGGTTCGTTACCTAGCTTTTCAAGAGCGCAGATTCTCTCTGGAATGAAGTGAAAATTAAATATTTATAAGTTGAATATTTTTAAGCGCTAATCAATTCTTTGTCAAATATTTCACAATTTTATCAAGATGATGAAAATGAAGAATAAAAGATTGCAGCAACCAATGCTGGATTTTCTCTAGAGAAACAAAATTAAATTCATTGAGGCCACTTAAAAAATTAGTCACTTGAAAAAAGGGACGGGATAGATTCTCTCTGGAATGAAGTGAAAATTAAATATTTATAAGTTGAATATTTTTAAGCGCTAATCAATTCTTTGTCAAATATTTCACAATTTTATCAAGATGATGAAAATAAAGAATAAAAGATTGCAGCAACCAATGCTGGATTTTCTCTAAAGAAACAAAATTAAATTCATTGAGGTCACTTAAAAAATTAGTCGCTTGAAAAAAGAGACGGGATACTTGAGACACTCGGTATAATATGGAAACATACATATGTGTATAACGCGTGTACATAATACGTAGGATGGCGGGAATAAACAAATTCTTTGTGGCGCGGAAAAAAAGTATATATATATATATATATATAAATACATATATATTATATACATATTATATACAAATAGCCTATGCGAATAAGTTGTAACTATCCGTTGGTACACATATCGCACATATGACCGAAAAGAAAAATAAGAGGCAGAAGATCGCTTCAGAAGTTAGCGAGGATAATGCACAAAAAGGAAGAAACAGAAAGGACGCACTAGAGAAAGGATCGAAGCAATATCGAAGTAATATCACTTGGCGATATTAAAAAATGTGCACAAAACGTGCGGTGCTGCGTCGTGCGTTCTATAACTACAATTACAAGTAGAAATGATTTATCGATAGACAACATTTTACATCACGTTTATATACGTTGAGATTTATAAATGATACTTGAATTTTATATTTCTAATCCGAAGAACTTTAAGTCAAGCTGGCATATCCAAGAACAAATTTCTTTTTCATTCTTAGGGATTATAATATAAAAGTTGTAAAATTTTTCTTATACTTTTTGATCATCATTTCAATAAATTATATAAAAGTTATATTAATTAAATGTATAGTTATATTAATAACTATATAATAAAAATTAATAAAAAGGATAAAAAATAAAGTATATTCATTAAATGTAAATATTAAATTTTTTAAGAACAGAGAAAGATATGATTTTAAAAAATATTTGATAAATATAAATATAGATTTTTTCGCGATTATCACAATTTTACACCGATAACTAAATATTTTTCAATCTTTTCTGTAATGCCGTCATCTGAAAGAATCGACATTTGAAGTGATAAAAGTAGGAAAGAATATAGGGAAAGCAGTTTAAGCTGAAGATTCGCTCATTTAATTCTGTCGCGAATCAAATTGATTGCGTACAGATATGCAATGTATCGAAAGTGGAAGAAATAAAGGTGCTTTCGGAACAAATCACTGTATGACGAAGACACGACAATGATACCATGAAATTTCATGACACAACGAATGTAATAAAAAGAAGTTCTTCGTTTTTTACACGTCCTGTGTTCATTAATATACCCTACCTCCTTATCCAAAATATATAAAATATCAACATACGTATGCATACATATGCGTCTAAATATGTAGATATGCGTGTATATATACTCATTTAAAAAATCTTTTTATATTACATATTTTTATCTTTTATATTTTATATTTATATTATATTTTTGGATATTTTATATTTCTTTTTCCATGTTTTTATTTTAATATATTTTACAGTTTATATATTAATTAATCATTTAAAATCTTTAACAAAAAATATTGGTTGCACGCACAAATTATATATTCAAAAATATAGCAAGATTATATGTATATTGTAGAATATTTTAACGAAAAATATAGACCGAGAGCAATACAGAAGTATATAAAAATATTTGCTAAGATTTTCTACATTTATATTTACAAACTAATATGAGAATTTTATTTTATATTTGGATTTATTTTAATATAAGAATTTACTTTTTTTTTAATGACGTAACAATTTATTTATTTAATACAATTTTTATAAGAAGATAAGAATTTTATCAAATAAATAAATGTTCACACATTATTATTAAAAGTAAATTATTGTATTAAAGTAAATCTAAATATAAAATAAAGTAAAATAAAGTTCTCATATTAGTTTGTAAATATCGACGTAGAATATCTCAGCTAATATTTTCATATATTTTTATACGAAAATATAAAATATACAAAAATATAATATCAATATAAAATATATAAAAAGTAAAGACATAATATAAAAATATTTTTAAATTTTAGCAATATCAATTTAAAAATGATTAATCCCATTTCTTTAAATTTTTACTAAATAATAGCAAAATTATAAATTGTCACAGTACAAATATTCACATCAATCAAAAATAAAAATTGGATATTTTAACAAAAATATTTATTCTACCGAGAAAGCAGAACGCAATCATGGACGAAATTGTATTTCAGATGTATATCAGAATTTGTTTTATTTTCGGCCATCAACAAAATATATTCTTGAGGTAAGTAAACATTTATTTTGCGAATGATGTGATAAATCAAATTTTCAAATGCAACAAATTGCACTTACCTTTCATTTTTTATGAAAAAACATGTTTTCCTAAAATACTATCTTTTCCTCTCTATGTGAAAAATAAAATGTATAGAAAAATATAATCTACTTCATTTTACCATGTTACATGTAAAACACATCGTAAATAGATTTAAACCAGTTATTAAATGAATATATATATACATATATATACATTTATAATACTTATATATATATTTACTTTAACGTTGATGAATGCTTTAAGAGTTGATGTATTAAAATAATTATATAAAATAATTATTAATTACTATATATTTACTCACATACACACATATATATATATATATATATATAAGTGTTATAAATTTCTGTAACTAGTGAAATATTAAATATCACTTTACACGTAAATGTTACTGAGAAATTTTCATCCTATTTCAAAATTTACTTTATCATTATTGCTTGTATCTATACAATTTTCGATTCATTACCTTTGCAAAGCATTTTAATTCTCAAAACGCGGGAAATCCGATTTGTATCTATATTCCGCGCAATGACACGAATAAAATTGACCAGTTCGCGATTATGATGTAAAAAAACGGGAAGAAAAAAAAGACATTTTTAATTATAAACGAAATCCATTTGCAAGTCGGAGCAAATCGGCTAAATGTCGAGATCACATAACGTTTTCCGAACATTGACACTATCCGGAAAATCTCGCGGAATATAGTTTTTCCTCTCTCTCTATACATACATATATATATATATATATATATATATATATATATATGTGTGTGTGTATATATTTCGTTGAACGGCGCGGAAATAAAATGGATACGCAGCGGGACGATAAATCGTCGCGCGTAGGTCCTTCCTAGCGTTTTGTGCCCGATAACGGCCAGGAACAAAAGAGAGGCGCATCACGTTCGGCTCGACTCGGCTCGACTGGAATTTCGTCCCGACGAAAATTTTCATCGCGAGCGCGTATAGCTATTTATTTTATTCTCGCTCGTACACGCGAATTGGATCCCGCGTCGCGTTCGAGATCTACGCGCGGTAAATCATCACGATCCTGCCGGCAAACGCCACCGCGTGCCGCGTTCGAAAATAAAACAACGACCGACGAAAAAGCAACACACACACTCACGAAACGGATTCTGAAAAATTCATCTCGACCGAGAAGAGCCATTCTGTTTTTTTTTTTTTTTCTCGTTAAAATCCTTCGCGATCGTGCAATCGCTGACTATTCTCTAATTTTTTATAATCGGACTAATTTTCTATGCGAAATAAGTAATAGACATCAATAAATTAAGCTGAATTAATATTATGTGCTGCGCAAGATATATTTATTTATATAATTTTTATTTTTCGTGAAAAAACCTATTTCAATTATAAGAAAATTTTGCTATAATATTTATAATTAAAAGAAATCATTAACGTGATATATATTTTAAGTAAATTGTATAAGTCTTGATAAAATATAATTTGTAAAAAAAGAGAAGAAAAAATAGCATTCGAGAAAAGATATTTATCGCATTATACAATAATATCAAAGAAATATGAATTTATTTAGAATATGTTTTAATACGATTTTATCAAAAACACATGTAAAATTCAAATAAATGTGAAAAAATGTAATAAATTTAATAAATCTGCTTGAGAATAACGTGTTAATAAAATTTTTAAACTTTGTTTTATTTGATTGATATAGTCAAAGTTCGCACGAGGAAAATAGAATTTCATATAAAACGTATTATAAAATAAAATGTAATTAAATAAATGTTTTTTATTACATTCAAGAGAAAGCAACAACGCAAAATGACATATGTTGCAATTGCAAACAGTCAAACACAATGACATCAAAAATATCATTGGGCAAATAAATAAATAATTATTCTCGCAGATGAAAGAAATAAATTCACTCACCGGACGATGATTTTAATGCCACCGTTTTCGTTCTGCATCCTGTTACAAATAAAAGAATTTATTTTTAAAAATATTCTTTTTATATATAACAATTAAATAAAATAAATTAAAAATCAAATATAAATAAAAATAACAAAAATATGAAGAACGTGTATTATCATGCATCAAAACTGTCGATTGTCTTACCTCGCAGCTGGTCCGAAGAGAGATAGCTCCTGGAGAAGACGAATTTCCGTTGAAGAACTCGCACTCGTGTTACTTTATACCAGTATAATATGAATAAGTAATCTGCTGCCACCGTTTTCTTTCTGCATTCGAGCCTGTTACAACAAAAAAATATTTTTAAAATGCTTTATATAAATAAAAATTAAAATAAATTAAAAATAAAATATAAAAAAAAAAAAATACATAAATACTGAAAAAATGTATTAACTTGACTAAATCTTTCAACTAAATTACTATTTTGTTAATTAAATATATATTAATATTTAAATCAAATATATATAATAAATATACGTTTTGTTAGATTTAATATGTTATATTTAATTTAAATATTTTTATATGTTCAATTGACAAAATAATATTTAGTTGAAAGATTCAGTCAAGTTAATAATTTTTTTTTTTTTTTTTTTTTGAAGGAATGTATCATCATACATTAATGTTGTCGATTGTCTTACCTCACAGAGGCGGCCCGAAGGGACGTGACAGCTCCTGGAGAAAACGAGTTTCTGTTGAAGAATCCGCACTCGCCTTACTTTATATTATGTCTTTGCATGGCATTCCCGGAGTCGCTCCAAATAAGTAACCTGCTGCCGTTTTCTTTCTGCACCTCGGTCCTGTTACAGACAGTTAAAAAATTATTTTTTTTAAATCCTTTATATAAATAAAAAATAAATAAAAAATAAATAAAAAATAAATAAAAAATAAAATTTTTTAAAAATGTATTGTAAAAAAGCAAAAATCAATTTAAAGGACGTGTATTATCACACTTCATTATTAATATATTGCTTGTTTTACCTCGTAGGCGGCCCAAAGAAAGACGTGGCAGCTCCTGGAGAAGAATTTCTGTTGAGGAACTCGCACTCACGTTACTTTATATTTTGCCTTTGGTATTCTCGGAGTCGCTCCAAATAAGTAATCTGCTGCCGTTTTCTTTCTGCACCTCGGTCCTGTTACAGACAGTTAAAAAATTATTTTTTTAAATCCATTATATAAATAAAAAAATAAATAAAAAATAAATAAAAAATAAAATTTTTTAAAAATGTATTGTAGAGAAAAAGCAAAAATCAATTTAAAGGACGTGTATTATCACACTTCATTATTAATATATTACTTGTTTTACCTCGTAGGCGGCCCAAAGAGAGACGTGGCAGCTCCTGGAGAAGACGAATATCCGTTGAGGAATTCGCACTCACGTTACTTTATATTTTGCCTTTGGTATTCTCGGAGTCGCTCCAAATAAGTAATCCACTGCCACCGTTTTCTTTCTGCATCTCGATCCTGTTACAGATAAAAAAATATTTTTAAAAATATTTTGTATAAATAAAATAAAAAAAAATAAATAAAATAAAAAAAATAAATAAAAATAAAAATAAAAAAGCAAAAATCAAAGGACATGTATTATTATATCGCATTTTCCGTTCTTTATGTCGATTGTTTTACCTCGCAGGGGCCCAAAGAGAGACAAATTTCTGTCGAAGAATTCGCATTTCTTTATATATACGACATTTTCGAATTCTTTCATCGCCTTTTCGGCGATCATCCGTTACTTAACACGGATCGCTCCGAATAAATAATCTGCGAAATACTCACGCGTATTACCTTGTATATACGACATTCGCGACTTTCATCGCACTCCTCCGACACGTTTTCGGCGAATAAATCAACAGAGCAATATGCCGTCCGTCCCGCGTTATTGCACACTTTTTGCCATCGAGAATCGCAAGCAAAATCTCGATTCTTGTATACTTTGCTCCAACTTCTGTCCATACGCGAACTTGTCACTGATAATAGATAGAAGGCGCGCTACTTAATATATTACGAGTACTTCAGATCGGTTAATTGACCAATCAGGAGGGCGAAAATTGCTTTATCCTGATTGGTTGATTGGAGTATTTACAATGTCAAGCGGAGGGACATCTATTATCTTTCTTTATTCTAGGAACTTTTTCTAAAGAAAGAGAGAGAGAGAGAGAGAGAGAAATATATTCTCTCCTCGAATTTACTTTATTTAATTTTGAGAAAAAATGCCCGTATTATCTTAAATGCAGAAAGTATAGCAATAAAACGAACAAAATTATAATATCAGAACAATACATTAACATATCAGTCAACAAAAAAATAGATCGATATCGATGTACCTTGATGATGACCTTGATGCTCCAAAACGACATCGCCAATGCTCACACGACGAATAAAATGTCGCTATGAACCGATATGAATATTAAACGCGAGTGAATATATCAAGGACACTATTTTCGTATAACTTAATTTAAAGCACCGCCGCGATCACCCCATTCGATGCTCACTGTAGGATCCTTCCCGGAGGAGTGGGGGCTACACGAGTCGCTCCAAAGAATGCGACGCACGCCGTAGCGTGACGTAAGCGTGACGTCAGCGTGACGTATGGCGCGTCGCGCGCCACTAGGGGTCCTACTGCGCAGAAAGTGGGTCCACCTGTGACGTATGTCATAGTACTTACTACCTTCCTTGTTTACACACGTGTAGCCCCCTCCCTCTCGCAAAGAATCCTTCGCAAGGTGCCGAGTGAACTGATAACTGTCAAAAATCACCAACTGAACTGTCAAATATCGCACAAGTGTCAGATTATTATCGTTATCCGTATATAATATTTTATCATATACTCCGGGTACATCAGTATGGCGTGACGAGATCCAGCTTCTCGTCGTGAAGAAATCTCCGAATCTCAGGTATTTATTATACATTTATTTCGGAGAAATCTCGAGCCTATATTTAGCTTAATCATTAAAGAAACACATCTGATATCCGAATGACGGAAAATCCGCTTTCCTTTTCAGCTTCTCTCGATAATCTCCAGGAAGTAAAACGAGACATAAATAATGTGCAATGGTGTTAGTGCTCGGTATATGTGATTACGTCCCTCGAGTCTCATTGTCGTGACTAACTTCATTGACAGGTGTCGCGTCGCGGTCATTTCCCTCGCATTTATCGCCGCCATTTTTGCGAGAGTGAATCTTCGCCGAGGGTGTCTCGTAAAATGTCGAGAGTATTTCGAATTAATTACCGGATAATCGTATCGGTGCGCTAATTAATCAGTGACTGAGAGCGATTCGGTTTTTTGTTAAGCTTTCCGAGCAGATAAATATTGCGTCAGGCGTGATTGTTGACATTCGCGTGATTTTTTTTGTCCTTAACGGGTGACAAGTATTTCGTGTGTAACGAATCGGCAGTTTCGACGAGCAAATTAGTGTCTCTCGATCAATCAGGTTGTACGATCGCTGTCGAGTACGAGATTCGCGTCGTGTTACGGCGATGTTTACAGCAGATAGAGGAATCAAGTGCACATATAGATATCGAACTCGATTGTCCCATTTCCTCTTATTTATTCGACCGAAATGCACTGGCATTGTGCATAACGTGACGGGCGTCGTCGTGTCGGAAGATCGTTAATTAGTGCGCGAGATGGTAATTAGCAGGCGCGATTGATTCGTACTTGTGCGAGAGGCTGCCTGATGCGGAGCATAGTATCGGTCCAGGACGCCAGGAATGCGGAATGCAGAGATGCAACGCCGATGCAACGCGAATGCAGCGAAAGATGAAACGGGCGTATCTCGTCCCGGTGAGTAAATTCCTTTGCGATTATTTACACGTGGGTTCATTTATTCGCAAGATAAATGTCTATACCTTGCTTGTTATCGCACGTTTTTTATTAATCGATATTTGTCGCGGCGAAATTAATAAATTTTATATGTTTTGCGCATTTCCCTGCGCGATTTAATAATTTAATATTTATGTGTCTATTCGATTATACAGTACGATGAATTTTAAATCCATGTTGCATACTTTCAAGCGTGATCACAAAAGAAATATATATACCTATTTATAAACGATTAATTTATTTGATATTAAGAAAATCATTTGCTTTTTGCTTTTATTATTTTCTTTTATTTTATCCGCTTATCTGCAAAAATCTAATTGAGAAATATTTATTAAATAAACGTTGATACAAAAAGCAGACATAAATAAAGACGTGTTTTTTTAAAGATAATTAATATGTTTCGCGCATTTCCTTGCGCGATTTAATAATATCATAACATTTATGTGTCTATTCGATTATACAGTACGGTGAATTTTAAATTCATGTTGCATACTTTCAAGCGTGATCACAAAAAAATATATATACCTATTTATAAACGATTAATTTATTTGATATGAAGAAAATCATTTGCTTTTTACTTTTATTATTTTCTTTTATTTTATCCGCTTATCTGCAAAATCTAATTGAGAAATATTAAATATACGTTGATACAAAAAGCAGACATAAATAAAGACATGTTTTTTAAAGATAATTAATATGTTTCGTGCATTTCCTTGCGCGATTTAATAATATAATATTGATGTGTCTATTCGATTATACAGTACGGTGAATTTTAAATTCATGTTGCATACTTTCAAGCGTGATCACAAAAAAATATATATACCTATTTATAAACGATTAATTTATTTGATATGAAGAAAATCATTTGCTTTTTGCTTTTATTATTTTCTTTTATTTTATCCGCTTATCTGCAAAAATCTAATTGAGAAATATTAAATAAACGTTGATACAAAAAGCAGACATAAATAAAGACGTGTTTTTTTAAAGATAATTAATATGTTTCGCGCATTTATTGCGCGATTTAATAATATAATATTGATGTGTCTATTCGATTATACAGTACGGTGAATTTTAAATTCATGTTGCATACTTTCAAGCGTGATCACAAAAAAATATATATACCTATTTATAAACGATTAATTTATTTGATATGAAGAAAATCATTTGCTTTTTGCTTTTATTATTTTCTTTTATTTTATCCGCTTATCTGCAAAAATCTAATTGAGAAATATTATTAAATAAACGTTGATACAAAAAGCAGACATAAATAAAGACGTGTTTTTTAAAGATAATTAATATGTTTCGCGCATTTCCTTGCGCGATTTAATAATATATATTTATGTGTCTATTCGATTATACAGTACGGTGATTTTAAATTTATGTTGCATACTTTCAAGCGTGATCACAAAAAATATATACTATTTATGAACGATTAATTTATTTGATATAAAAGAAATCATTTACTTTTTGCTTTTATTATTTTATTTTATTCGTTTATCTGCAAAAATCTAATTAAGAAAGATTAAATATACGTTGATATAATAAGCAGGCATAAATAAAGACACGTTTTTTTTCAAGATAGAAGAAGAATAAAGGTAGGTGCAACAATGTATGCGTTTAATTATAATTCCTTCCTCCATGACAAGGAATATTTATGTTGTAACACAATTATCTGTGGCTTTTTTTTGCAAACGTTTTGTTATAAGCTTTGTAATATATAGAGCAAAGCTACAAGATCTCTCTTTCTCTACTGTTTAATTTGCTTTTGTGAATAATGTTGACCGAACTGTTGAACCACAACGGATTACGCGTGGACAGCTGTCTATATGTTTATTAGCTTTGTGTTTTATCTTTTAATCTATACAGAAATACAAGAGAACAGGTAGCGGAAACTTCTGCAAAATTGCCACTAATTATGTAGTACGCAAATTGAATTTTAACGCTCATTTTCCTCCTGTGTTATTATACAATGTCGCAATAAATTGCGACAAGAACGTTGTATACAGGGTGTACGAATCATAGTTTAATACTTTAACTGTGAAAACTTTTGAGAAATTATTTTTATATTTTACAAAACTTTTCGTCAATTTTCTAAATAATTTATTTTCATTTTTTGCGATTGATTGCAACTCGAAAATTAATATTTAATTTAATATTTTAATTTAGTAATTTATTGATAAAAATAAAATAAGTTGATAATAGAATATATTGTTGAAATCAATTATACGTACAGCATATGTGCTTGACACATTTAATTAAAAAATTTGGGGAAATTAAATATGAAATAAGAATAGAATTTTTAATATTCTATTATCAACTTATTTTATTTTTATCAATAAATTACTGAATTAAAATATGTACTAAATATTATAATTATATAGTATATGACATATATGTATATATAAATAAAAAACCATTTTTATTTCACATTTAATTTCCACATTTTATATCATTAAATGTATCAAGCACATATGCTGTACATATGTAATTAATTTCAGCGATATATTTGTATCTACTATGAATTAGCTTTCTTTTTCCTATTACCAATAAATTACTGAATTAAAATCGGAGAAGGAATATTAATTTTCGAATTGCAATCGATCGAAAAAAATGTAAATAAATGATTTAGAAAATTAATCAGAAGATTGTAAGATGTAAAAATTGAATACAAAATAAAAATAAGATTTTTTAGTATATATCATATATTCAAAAATCCTATTTTTATTCTGTATTTAATTTCAATATTTTTACTTCTCAACATTGCAAAGTTGATCTTATTATAAATCAAATATTACACAAAGAGAATTTTCTCTTAGAATTTATCCTGAAAATCTTTGTAATTATGGGACAATATGGTGTTGGAAGAATTTTATAAGTTTCTTTGATTAATATTTATTACAATAAAAATCTACAATAATACAATATAAAATATGTTTGATTAATTTACTATGTACATATTAATATTTTTATTATGGTAAATATTAATCAGAGAGAAACTCCTATAAAATTTTTCCAATATTGTTCCACGATTACCATAATTTTCAGAGGAAATTCTCTCTGTGTATTATTGAAAAGAAAAAAATTAAATTTATGCATTGAAAAATTAAGACGATTAAAGCTTTTCCCATACAACGCATTCACCCAAATAATGAATGAAAAAAATATTTTCTCCCGATTTTCTCTCAACCAGATTGCTTTTGGTAACTCGCAAAGATAAAGCTCGTCGTCATCCAAAGAAACAAGCCGTCGACCGGGAAATTGTAAACCAACCTAATTGACCGTGTGCTTTCGCGCGCAGGTAGTTTTCGGAGCTTATACAGCAGCTCGAAGCTTTCGTCCGCACGATAAAAGTGACTGAAAAGAAAATTTCCGGGTTTTTCTCTCGTTTATTTCTTTCATCTTTCGTCTCTCTTTCGTCTCTTTTTCCCTCTGTTTCTCTTTCTTTTCTCTCTTATGACTTTCTCACGTTTTTTCAGCCTCTATTTCGTCTTCGTTGTTTTCGCGGGAAAAGTTGGTTCGACGACCTTAAGTGGCGAAACGATTCGTCAAGTCGCGCGTATCAAGCAGTTACGAACGTTACGATACGCAAAAGTTACGCGACCATAACTTTCCACTTTCTTTGCCAGCTTAAAGAACTTGATTACGTAATCGCGACGAGAGAAAGTTGCAGGAGTGTCTTTCTTTTTTACGCGATCCTGTAACTTTGCAACTGTCTCTACGATTCCTTTTACCGCTATTGTACACGCAAGTAGTTTTACTCAGACATTGAGCAGACATCTCGCGTTGAGATACGTCATGAATTTTTGTAGTAATTTGTAAATTGGTCAAATATAATATCTTCACAGAGAGAATTTTCTCGTAGAATTTACCCTGAAAATCATGCATGGTAATATAGACAATATAATATTAAAAGAATTTTATAAGAGTTTCTTTAATTAATATTTAGCACAATAAGATATAAAATATGTTCGATTAATTTTACTATGAACATATTAATATTTTTTATTGTGGTAAATATTAATCTGAGAAACTCATAAAATTCTTCCAATACCATATTGTCTTAGATTACCATGATTTTCAAGGTAAATTCTAAGAAAAAATTCTCTCCGTGTTGATTTTAGAAAATAAAAGGTCTAATATCTTTGAAAAATAATTGTTTTAAATGAATATTTAGTTACAGAATTTTTTAATATATTGTTTGTAGGATATATGGATATATATTAACAAATTATTTATTTCTTAATTTGTATTATATCTATATTAATTATATCATTATGTTAATCATTTGTTATGCATACATTAATTAGTCAAGTTAATATATTTGTTCAGTGCAGAATTTTGTTTCATTTAGTAAAATAATTATGAAAGAAGACATAATACATTATTCCTTAAACAACAGGGGTAATAAACCACAATTTATAACACTTTCCAGAAAATTAATTAAAATTTATATTATCTCTTGCTTCTCACTTGCAAAGTAATTATATGTGTTATAATTTTAATAACTTGAAAGTGTGAAAAGGAGTATAAAATTATATTTTAAGTTTTTAAAAACATTTTTCAATAAAAAAATCTAAGAAGTTTGATCTAAGCTATAAATTTCTTTTATATTCTAAATGATTCTTCTACAAAATTATAAAGTAAAGCCGTTACAAATGTGAATTCATAAGTTCATACCGAGACATATGCCGCGAAATTACAGGCAGAAATTGGTAGCGAACAGAGAAACGCGTTCACGATTTTTCGCAAGATTCTCAAAGGCTTATATCCATCCGGTACAGTAAACTCGAACGAGTAAAATCGACAGGAGATTCGTTTAGACGCGTATCGGCATCCATTGCGGTCAGCCGCGTATGTTCCATTGAAAGTTTTAGTACGATCGAATCTTCGGTACAAAAGGAAAAATACGACCGCGAACATATGAACGAATTCCGAACTTCTTATTCATACTCTCGATCGCG